GTAGTTGCGTCGTTTTTTCCTCTCATAATATATATATATATATATATATATATAAGTAATAGAATACACGTCATTCCCGTTATGTGTAAAGGCGCAAGGGCTGAGCTTACAGAAAAAGTACAGTCTAATGAGTTCTGATCGAAACGAGTGGGAACTTACTCATCTCGAAAGCCATCCCGACCTGTTGCTCTGAGCAAAGAATTCGAAGAATTTAATAATCGTCATTACCTCGCTATTTATCTGGGGAGCCCATGTTAACTAACATGTGGAAGCTATAAGCAAAGCAAACTTGGTTACTACGTCATCATTGTAAGAATTATAAGCGAGGTTTAGAGCATAGTCGAAATCTAGTTCCCCTACACGCATTGAGTCGGAAACTCAACCTTTCAGGATTTTTTTAATTTATCATTTTTTTATTTTTTAATTGAACAACGTAGTAGTGAAAAATAACGAGATCGACCTTGCAATAATTATCTGAAGAGGGGATAACTGAGGCGAGAACTGAAATCATCTCTTGTATAACCATGCAGCACAACATCAAAGTTAACTTACGCGCTCCAGATCGGGTTCCATTTTAACTAATGGCGAATTCATTAAGCCATACTGCTGTTTTAAGAAAGGTTGTAGGACAAAAAAGGGTAAAAGTGCGCGCGTCAACCCCGAAAGGTACTATGTGTAGTTTTGTGGTCACAGTTCCTTGACCTTAGGATTTCAGGGAATCTTAGAAAACGCCACTGTAAAGACGATTAATCGCAGGTTTGATGAATTTACTTTTTTATTTAACTTATTAAAATTCTATGATCATCAGACACCCAGATAACCCTACAAGACTGTAATGTGTATTTTTGTCCTTAAAGATGTCCTTTTCCTGCGACAAGCTAACGAGCTTTCTCGAAATACGAACTAAAAGAGGGAAAAACGACAGGTAAGACAGCAAACACATCTAAAACAGAACTGATTAACGTCTTTTTATTGAAAATACTACAAATGCATTTCGCACACTGAAACTCAATTCGTTTTTGAGAGAAACTAAAATCTGGGAAAGACGTTTCTTTTTCTGATTTACCGTTTTATTCTACTTTCGGCAACAGCAAAAGCTGTAGTAGGTGTGACCTTTAGGAAAGCGATTGATATCAGTAGGGGAGCTTGAAACTTCACTTCCTCCGTTAGACGATTGACTACAGCTATAGTTGTAGAAAGCCCCGATCATTTCACCAGCCTTAGTGGCTTTTCCTGTTTTGCCATGAATGGACACCTCTGCATCACAGTTTTTATATAAAGTCTGACCACAGATCTGAGTGCAGCTCTTCCTGTCAGCTCTGTTTCGTACAAGAACAACGTTGGCACAACAACCAGTCCCCCCTGAACTTGTGCTACCCCTGCAGGCAGCGGCAGCCGCCATATGAAGAGCCTGCCACCCCAAGTCGTACATGGAGTATTTGTCGTAACCCGCCACGAGGAGTTTCTGGGGCAGATGGCCGGTACTGTCGAGCAAGGCGAAGCCGTTAGGTTTTCCTGCCTTCTGAAGTAAACCTTTCAGTTTTTCGACCTGGCAGGATTCAGAGAAGCAACGAACTTTAATAAAAACACAACGGAAAATAAGATAACAAATTCTATGGATCTAGAAGTTTAATTTGCTAATTTACTGCTTGAAATACATAAACTATACTCAAGGCGTCTTTTGTCGTGGCTCCTTTTGCCTTCTACCATCATGTTAGCATAAATTTAGCAATAGCATTTAAGCAAACGTTTTCGCCATGCGCACCTCCCTACAAAACTTTGAATAAAAGCTAAAAAGCGAGTGAAAAGTAAAACGTTTGATGAAATCGCTATAAAAGCTAATCTGGAACGCTAAGTGGAACCGAGCCAGGTACCGACAAGGAGGTTTTTTTCTTATATGCTCAAAGGTCGAAATTGTAACTTGAGAATTAAAGAGAAGGTTTTGAGCCTATTCATAGATTTCCGACTTGACGCAACGATTTCCGATATGAACTTATGCTCTAGTTCTCAAATATTTTGGAAGGTGTAGCGACGCAACTTAAAAGGAATTTTAGTTATCTAGTAGTGACTACTAACCTCGTCTTCCAAAACTTTCAATCTGTCGCTATTGCCTGTAGAAAAAGATATTTAAAAAGAAGACTGAGGTTAAAGGGATCTTTATGCAACACTCTCATGAGTATTCTGCACTCTTTTGATAAGGCTATCGACTAAGTATTTTGAAAGTGATGTGTATCTTTCCTTTATTTGTTTGTATGTTCGCTTATTGATAAAGGTGCATCAGTGACAAGTTTTGAATTGATTGCGTATGGAACATCTTCCATAGCTTGGTCATACTTAAGAATTTTAAAAAAGGCAACTGACAGCTAATTTTCGCTTTTTCGGAATACTGTCTTAAGGCCTCAGGTGACACATCATCGTGCCTTTTTTCGCTCTGAAAACTTTCCTAAATACAGCTTCGTGAGTTATTCGCCTTAAAAGCTTCGAATTTGACCATGTGACCTGATACGTCACGCGTGTGCACACTCAGCAAAGTAAATACGGCGGATAGTAAGTCAAATGAGAGCAATTCAATTTCGTGGTCTGATTATTCGGATTTCAGGCCTCGATGGAGGGTGACATTAATGATAGGGCTTATGACCCTGCTGGTTTAAATCAAGCCCTGACGATTTTGAAGAGTATCAAGAGTTTGTGCGCCGCGTCGCTTCAATCAAGAAAGCGACGAATGGTGAGTGCATAACGCTTGTAAATAAAGTATCTGAAAATCAGTCGCTTATCAATCGCTTATCAGGTAAAGAAAACCAAATGTGCAGGCTCTTGAATTCCATAGGAGCTAAGTGTTTTTGGGCTACACGTGCGCACCTTCCGAAGCTTTTTTTGCACAGACTGTGAAAATATAAACATACACGCTTGTGGAGGTGCATTGGACGCATTCATTTTTTAGAGTAATTTTCCACATCATACACGTTTCAACGCGTTTGTATGGGTTTTAAGTTTTCTTGTATTGAATTTGAAGAACAGCTTTTACTATAAGACACAAGCAGCAAAAATAGCATACGCACATGTAGAAGTGAACATCTTCTTGACATTAACTTACTGTAAACCTAGTTTCCTCCTTTTGTGGTCTTTGTACATTGTTTATAGGTTAAAGTTTACGTCATCTCTTACCTGAATTTCCCTTTCCCCTGGGTTTGCTTCCAGAGAGACAAACAATGGCTTCAGTCTTAAAACGTTCAAGAGGCAAACATTATCAACAAGATATAAAACCAAAGAAGCAAAGCAAGTCGTTCGAATAGACAAAATTCATCGTCATATCTAGTTAGGGACAGGTAGAGAACGTCCGAGTATTCGCCATTTAGCATGATACTCTTCTTTGTGATGGCACACAAAAAATTGAAACATGATATTAAATTACTTTGGGGCGAAAATTCACTGCATGACTGTTCATAACAGAAACACGAACTCATCTAATTGATTGAAACGTTTACTGATAAAGATTCAGATATGTTTCTCACGTTTGGTGTTGCTTGAGCAATCTGGGTTTATTGTGCGCAATAAATTACTTTCACACTCAGATTTTATTTTAGGTAGCATAATTTGCGCGTTACAAGAAGTTCGAGATGACCTGTATGAAACCAAACTGAACCACTTACGAGATTTCAGGCGATACATTACATTCAAGAACTCTCGTATTTCTCTTACCAGGCATTGATTCTCTGGGCATTTTTTCAGCAGAGATGTTGTGTTATCCCTCAGATTCTTCGTTCCTAGCACCTCAGACAAAAATACCCCAAAGAAAAAAACTTTGAAAATTGTGAACTTCATCTTCGATTTTCTCGTTCAACTGATATTTCACAAATTAAACTGAAGACACAGCGTTGCCTTAGTTGGATCAACATTGGTGAGTAGAAGGTATGGAACTCGACAAAATATCATGTTTGCTGAGACAATGAAGGATGAACTTTACACTGCCACGTGTAGGTGGAAAACAATAGCAAATTGTATATTTTAAAACCACGAACGGGTACTGAAGTCCTTTGTGTCAAACTAGCATTGTTCCCCCGTAGTAGACAGGAACGGAGCGCGTCGCGCTAAAAGCCGACAGTCAGTAGTTGTTTCCTTCGCGCCGTTTGTGATTGATGTAAACTTTTTACAGCTCGATATGCAAAAATTTTTGTTCCGATCGTTAACTGTGAGTTTCGATGAATTTAAGGGCTTTCTCTCTTCGACGAAAACATGATCTGAAGGTCATTTTCCGCCAGTCTTACGCAAGAAATAAGAATGAAATCGCGTGATCGGCAAATCGATAGATGTCGCACATCACAGCCTTCAAGGGAGGACAGTTTAATTATATAATAATGTTCAGTAATCCTAAGAAATACATGCAAACATTTACGACATAAAAGTTAAGGTCTTATACATAAATGCGACCTCTGGAATTCGATGCAACGAAATGGTCGGATCCAGATTTCTGGGATCGCCACGGGGCAAACATTTCAACTCACTAAAAGGAAAAATATGGCGAAAGGTTGTTCTGACGTCTAAAAAAACTATCTTAGAAAGAGATAATCACTTTTTCGCCGCTCTTTTATTAGAAATGGATTTGAGTAATGCTGATACACGGGAAGCGTAAGTTCTCGTTTGGAAAAAAAATATGGAGTAAAATCTACCGATTAACTTGTCTCCATGCGCAAAGTTTATTGTGAGTTTGACATCGGGTAAAATTTACTTCGATCATTGTTCTTGTCCTTAAATTCTGACTGACTGGTCGACTCTGTTCGACACTATTCCTATCTCTGATTAACTCTGGTCGACTCTCTTTCTTTACCTCTGATCGACTCTCCTACTGCGAACCCCATAGTACATAAACATGTATTCACTATCGGTATAGGCATGAGTGAAGATGCTGATCAATACTGAGAACATGGAGGAATAAAAATTTTTCGCCAATAAAAAAATAACTCAAACACGTCCGCAAGAATTTCTTAAATGATCGACAACTGGTTCTAAGGCAAGGTCAGTACACAATCTAAGCATGTACCAATGGAAGTCTTATCTGAATTCGTAAATTTAAAAAAAGGACGAAAATCACAATTTAATTACAAAATACCTCAAAAACTTTCATTTCTTTGCCGAACTTTCTACAGCTTTCGATAACACAACTGAAACACGCGTGTAAATATTGATTTTTACCGTTGATGATTTGAACTCGTCAGTGATGTTTACTGTTTTCTCACTTAATATATTGTTCGCATGGCTGTTAATCAGTATAAAAATTATAACTTAAAACTTCTATTGCCATTGTGCATTCGAGAGTCTTGTGAACCATGAACAACGAGTGAATGCAACTCCTGTAAAGTTTCTCTTGGTTTGTCCAAGGTCTATTCGCCACAACTTGCCCCGTTATCCGGAACTAAAGATGATAACGATAGACTTTTGGCCTCCCGTTAGCCAAGCAAGTACCCCGAGTGTAGTTTCCCTAAGTTGTTCATTTACTTAATTAGTTTCCAGTTAATAGCCCCAGCAGCGAAAAAAAAAAGGATCGTCACAAAAGGATCCGTTTTCTAGCAAATGAGTTACGATTTATGACATTGACGCCCTGTTTTCTTGTCTTAACCTTAAAAACTTCCTCCTTCCCTTAAACATGATTTTCTTGAAAGATGCTCCGTGGTAGGGACGAAGATGGAAAAAAACCCTCGAGGAGGATAGGAACAAACCCCCTGAAGTAAATTTCGACAAAGTACTCGATAACTTGGGGAAGGACTTTTCCTCTTATGCGGAAGCCTGAATCCTGAGAATATTTAAAGTAGCAAGTCGAAGTTTGATCTATATGCAATGTCAAACAAAGCTGGTTGCAGCAGTTTTATTCTCATGCCACGCATCGAAGATGCCGACGTACGACTGAGATGAAAATCAGAGAGTTACCTAAGACTGAGTCACCAAGAAAGCAACTCGAAAATGAAGAATACCACGCAAATTATCAAGGACCAAGGACACGCAAACTAGAATTTCACCTTTAAAAAAAAAAAAGCAAAAAAAAAAAAGCAAAAAAAAAACACAAAAAAAAAAAATTCAAATTTCTTCAAAGGCTGAAAAACTTGTTCGTTTGTTTCTTCTTCTTTTTTTTTAATTATAAGGGGTTTTGTGTCATGTTTATTCAAGGGTAAAAAAGGAAGTAGTGAAGTGACAAGTCAAGTCATCTCAGAATAAGTATTAATAACAGTAAAAACTCAAACTAACAGCACTTTAAAAAAGCAATAGGACACAAAGATAGTAAGCACTTATGTTGTAAGATTTTACGGTTAACGTTAATTTCTTGGTAGTTTTGATAAATTTTGGTGTCAAGTTTTTTTTATCAGTTTAAAAAGTAATCAGATGACAACAGACATCGCCGTCACTCAAAAGTCCCAAAATTAAAAATTAGCATGGAGTGAAGTGTTTTTTGTTTTTCATCCGGTACTCTTTTGAAAGGATAGGTAATTAATTTTTATTGAAAACGCGACGCTCCTCTGAAACATAATGTAGTTTTCACTTAGACGCAAAGAAAAGAATCCCTGAAATTAATAATAACTAAGGAGACCTTTTTGAGTGGATCTTACCTGGTCATTATAGGATACAGCTTCAAATCGCTCTTCTATTATTTTACCAAATGAAGCATAGATTATGTCGCGCTTGAAAAACAGTCATTATATTTTGCAGATTGGACCGGAAGACAGATAAATAGCGCTAGACTCACAGTGGACCAATGAAAACAACACAAAGTACGTGACACGTTGTTAAGTACATGTCAAAAGATATTTTTCTTTAAAGAACATAAATTAGGCGCCCCAAAAAGTGTCTAGTAAACGAAAGAAACTCTTTGTGAAAGGAAGTTGATATCATCCAAAGTAAATTTTCACTTCTCTCTAGAAAAACAAATTTTGATACTCTTTAAAACTCTCTATCGCCATGGATTCTTCAGTAGTGTTGTCTCTTGTGTTAACATTTTCTTTCGGTCTAGAAGCAGTGAATTGTTTCATGTTTCGCTCGATATCCAGTCATGCATTTAAGGGTCTCATTTCGCAAACGCTGTTCGACTTAGATTGGCTGAGTTGTTTAGAAGCTTGTAGCCGAAGTGAGACATGCGTGTCTTATAACTACAACTCGCTGACAGATACGGAAGGAAGAGGAAGTGTATGTGAATTGATCAGCGGAGGAAAATATCTTGGCGAGTGTGATACGAGTCATCTTGTGTACCAAACTGGTTATGTGTTTCACAGAATAAAACTCAGCAGTAAGGTATGTCAAAGAGTGCCCTGTTTTGCTATAAATTTTTTGCTATAAGGAATTTTATTTTACAATTAACAAGAGCGCAACAGTACAATTGAGTTTCCCTCTCTAGTGGGCGATTGAAATCACCAATCACCTTTCGGTGCTGTGACCATGTAAACTATTCCTACCCGCCTCTAAGATGAAGGAATACATAAAATGAATGATTAAAAACGAACTTTGTCTTATTGAGGTAAACTGTGTAGCTGAAATGTCAAACTAAATAACTGACCGCTGAATGACTGAATTCAACAGAAGAGACGGTAAAAGTCTCACATCCTTCACGTTTTTCTCCCTTTTTCAGGAAGCAAACGGAATAGTGCCATGCAAAACTGCGGTGCAAGATAAAGGTAGCACTGAAATATTTTCGATTTCATGTTTATTTACCTTCTTTTACCCGCAATCGATGTTATAACGCCACACCACCTCGAGCGAAATTAAAATTTTTTTGTTGGTGAAAATAACATCACTTCTATTTGAATTACCTTGAAACTCTCCCACCAGCTGAGCTGATGTATTACTATTTCTTTCATACTATTATTACTTTTTTTACTGTTTTCCGTTTTGTTATGTATTTTCAGTAGTGTAGCTCCTTCCAAATCATCATAAATCATCCTCCAACTCATTTCACAAGTCGCCATAGTTTGTGCAGTTTTTATCGTGTGTGCTCTTTTTCTTGCTGTGATGATTTATTTTCCCTTGATAGGCTTTACAGACTGCCACGAGTTGTTGCAAGCGGGAAGAACACAAAGTGGAGTCTATACAATCAACCCTGATGGAAAAAACGAGTTTGAAGTCTTCTGCGATCAAAAGACAAACGGTGGTGGGTGGGTTGTCTTCCAAAAGCGATTCCGTGGCTTGGTTGACTTCTTCCGCGACTGGGCGAGTTACAGAGTTGGATTTGGTAACTTGACAGGCGAGTTTTGGCTCGGTCTTGACAAAATACACCGACTGACGTCCCTGAAACGGACTATCTTGCTCGTAAATCTGGGTGATTTTAATGGAGCCTCAGCGCACGCCATGTACGACAGATTTCAAGTGTCAAGCGAAGAAAACTTATTCGAGCTTCACGACCTTGGAAAGTATTCAGGTATATAATTAAATGACGCTAGCTAATATCAGGAGCGGGGTAAATTTAGCTTTAAGATATGTGCCGTAGATTTTGAAAAAGTACACGATGTATGCCACTGAAACAAACTACATTGTATACCTCCAAGGGATTCAACTATATAAGAATAAAGAGGGGAAGAGGGGATTCTTTTTCCTCTTAAAATAAAAATTAACAATTCTTATTCAACTTGCAATTTCCTTCTTTACTTGTTTATTCTTTGGCGGGAGGGGATGAATGACCCTTAGCCTACATTGCTGGCGCTTGAAACAAGCGGCGAGGCCACGAGAGGCTTGGGACGGAACCGGTAGCTTCAAATGATACACCTCTACATCTCTCCTCCCTTTAGGATTCACCGCTTTACTAAACACTTATGTGTCTGAAATCGAAAATATCATCTTTGCAGGAACAGCAGGTCACTCCTTGGAGTGGCACAATGGTTTACCTTACTCCACCAAGGACCACAATAATGGTGACTGCCCTGATGAAGAATGTGCAAAAATGTACCACGGAGCGTGGTGGTATGGTGACTCCATTCAATCAAATCTTAACGGCAAATACTATATGACACCGATTGCACCAGCACACGATGGTATCATCTGGGCAGGTTGGAGGGGATTTAATACCTCCTTAAAATGGACAGAAATGAAAATGAGACCATGCCTTGACTGAATGTCGATTAGCTAGCTAACTGGCTCTTCTTGCAGGAAACCATTCTCCTCCTAAAGCACCTTACGGACACATTTACACTGAGCCGAATAAATTAAAAAAGGGAGTCTTTAGTCTCAAAACGCCCTGCAATTTTTCTTTCCACAATACAAAACGAATGAAATATTACAAACGAGTGAAATATTCACCGTTCATACTATGCCGGATTTATTGTATATTGAAGCACTATCAGTAGATAAGCTTGAACATATCCCTTAGAAATGCACACGATGAGGGCAAATAAAACAAGTAAACAACAAAAACAACAAAAAGCAAAAATAGATAAACACTAACGACAAAACTGATAGAAAGAGACAAAAGATAACAGAAAGAAGTAAACGATCTAAAACCTAATACGCAAAATAAAATAAAGGAAAAAAGAATACAAAGAGGTAACATAAGCGGTGGCTAACAGCGTCATGTTAGTTCCGGGTTGATGAGGACAGTGATCGAGTCAAATCGCATAAATGAAGTTCTTTTATCAAATTTCTTCAGCGTTGTTTAAACCGAGCCCGAGAAAGTTTTTCGACCCGTTGAGCTCATGAAGAGACAAAATGTGGAATTGTTAACCAGCTCTTGATAATTCAGAACAAGTTCCCGTAGATGATACGTAATTGCAAAATTAGGGTTGAGTGGGAAATGCAACGTGTGGCAAGAGGTTGTATGTGTTGTAAGTAAATCAATTGAATTTTCAACTCCGAATGTTGCATTTCTAGTGTTCTGGTTAGATCACTCAACTCTGGTTATCAGCTCATATCCCAAGTCAGCTTATGTACTATCTGATGGGAGCTGAAAATAAGACCCAAATGTCCAAAAGTTTAGGATCTAATGAGATCCAATAAAACATGTATTTCATTTGCACTTAGGGGATACGAGATTGCTTATTGCCAACTCATATCCAACGCCCTCTCGGGATCAGTCGTCGCTAACATAGCATAAAGGGGACTATAGAGAATTGATTGCCAATTAAGTGTTTATGAGCGGGGGGAGGAGAAACATTTGAATATTATATAGCCTTATCGGGGGATCAGGTAAAATGAACGGTCCTTAAGATGGAATGAGGCGAAGGTTGCATTTCGCGGGTTCTTACACGCCCATATCAGCTTTAAGAATCTTGCAAAGGACTGGAATCTACATTAGAGCCGCGGTAATCTGGGAACTTATTGCGTAAAAAACATGTCGGAATGATCGTGTATTGAGTAGTTCGATCATCCCTTTCAAAAAATGGTGAGTTTTTTTCGTATTTCCAGAGTTAAAGGCTGTGCTCTCATGGTTAATGAACCATACTCTCTTCTCAGGCGAGATTTATTGCCCAAATAATCATTCTCGGGGGTCAAGTTATCGGACGAGCGTTTGCACAAGCCCTGCGTCAGGAGTTTCAAAGTAAGTGATGCAATAAATCCATATTTGCAGTCGTTTAAAACGCACCTTACGGTTTCTCTATAACTATCTCTATTTAAATGCTGGTATAACTTTTTTTCTGGCCCATTAAGTACATGAAGGTATCATAGATATTGGTTTAACGTCACATAATGAAGCATTTTGAGCGAAGACATGCTTTCTTGATATGAATGTGCACTTTAACGTCATTTTAGCAACGTGGGTGTACCCCCCTTGAAAATAGTCGATTTTGGGGACTGTTTTGTTAAAAAGCTTTGCGTCGGAAATAAACTCAAAATTCCGGAAAACCGAGGGTAGTTGGCTCTATCCTTTAATATTCAAAATATTCTGACGGAGAATTCTACATTAAAAAAAGGAATTGTTAAGATTGCAATCGTACTCTTGTTTAACACATATTATTAAATTTTCAACTCTGAAAACTATATAGCTTATATTCCTAGTCACCTTAAATGGAATGGCATCACACCAACTGTTGCAGAGATGATAAAGGTTTCAAATATCCAAATGTACAGGATTCAATAAAAATTAATGACACAATTATTCCATTTTCACTTGTTGGATATGAGATTTGACACAGCTCACTTGGCACTACACATCTGCAGCTCACTCGGCACTACACAACCTGTTGGTGGCTTTTTACCATCTCATATCCAAGGCACACTCATAGAATTTCAGTTAAATGATTTGTTTACTGCTGGTGTACATATAATTATGGACAAAAATTGTTCAGCACAAACTCATTCTCATGATTTGGTATTCTTTGTAAATTGAAATAGGTAGGAAAGAGGGTAATTCTACTGTTTGTTTCAGGGACCACACTGTTGTATTCACAAGACTTGTTTCATTTACAAGTTTTTTCATCTGGTTGTTGATCTGTTTGCTTTCATTTGATAAGTGTCTGTCATGAGAGGAAGCTATATTCATTTACTACCTTTTTTTTCAGGTGGAGCTGCAGCTCAGAAAGCATCAAAGGGTGCCCAAGAAGGTGCTAAAAGAGCAGCCTCAAACAGTGTTATGGGACTGAGTTTAGAGGTACTGCAACTTTGTCATTTTAATTCTTAAGTTAACCTTACACGTCCTAACATCAGTAACCATATTCTCCATACCTTTCAAGACTTATGTGTCCTTTAATTGTGAAAAGGAGAATTCATTTATCAATTAAAGCTTGTTAGGTTGGCTCTTTGTTTCTTTATTCTCATAATACAAATGGATGATTCAGCAGTATTACAGAAAAGAGAAATTCCATGCTGGTCACTCCTAAGGTTTTAAGGGTGACCTATTGCTCATATGCTGGATGTGTTCTTGATTGAAAAGGATTGTGCATGGAATGTTCAATGAATACGTCATAGTGTTCATTGTGCATGGTATGTTCAATGAATACGTCATAGTGTTCATTGTGCATGGTATGTTCAATGAATACGTCATAGTGTTCATTGTGCATGGTATGTTCAATGAATACGTCATAGTGTTCATTGTGCATGGTATGTTCAATGAATACGTCATAGTGTTCATTGTGCATGGTATGTTCAATGAATACGTCATAGTGTTCATTGTGCATGGTATGTTCAATGAATACGTCATAGTGTTCATTGTGCATGGTATGTTCAATGAATACATCATAGTGTTCATTGTGCATGGTATGTTCAATGAATACGTCATAGTGTTCAGGAAATAATTAAAAACTTAGTTACAAAGTATATGGTACATTTTCCAGTCAATCTAATCACCTCTGTAAGATGAGAGACCTCTTGAAAAAATCTTGTTTACATGTAGTCTATAAACCCATCCAATGATTTCTTGAAAGTTGTGAACAGCTTTTTACATACATGTATGGTAAGGAGATAAGGATTTAATTTATATTTTTTTTGTTGTATCAAAAATTTATTGACAGGAAGCTAAACAGATCCTCAATGTTCAAGATCTGAACTCAGAATTAATTACAAAGGTACAGTATATTTGCCTCACATTTCCAATTTGGAAGACAAATTTGAGAGATCTTATAGCTGAGTGGTTTGCATGGTTCATTTGGATTGTAGATGTTTATGTTCTAGCACTGCTTAGGGTAATAAAGTGTGCTTATCGGGGGGTGTTGGGGGTATATTTTGGTATTTTACGGAGACTGAACTCAAAAGGTGCTGGTCTCCATCCAACCAATACCATTAATTTCTTAAGGATGCACTTCTATGTCAAATGCTGCTTTCAAAGATTACTTTTTGAAACCTGAAATCCAGAATTATTGCAAGTGATGAAAATTGAGTCACCTTAAGGGTAGAGAAAAGATGAAAACAGGGAAAGAACACTTAAAAGCATATTACATTTTTCTTTTTAATTGAAGCAGTTTTCATTGTTTTGAAACAGGGGATACTGTTTTTTTCCCTAAAAATGTACACTCTTAATTTCATCATCTGGGCTGACTGTTTCTGTTTTGTGAAGGTTTTGGTCATGCTAAAGCGGAAGAAAGTAGACCTATGTTTTTGTCTCAAGAGTATAATACAGTTAATCTTTTTCTTCGTTCAGACTTTGATAAAAAACAAGTAAGATTTTCCAGGTTAACTGCATATCTTTAAACTCATTGGGTTGAGCATTGGAGTGCAGAATCTGTAGGTCTGAGGTTCAATTCATCATGAGGATTCAACCCTTTTTTAATTCCATGCTCATGACAAGACATATAACATCTTTCTTTATTTTCAACATATTTTTACAGAATTATGATCATTTGTTCAAAATCAATGAAAAGAAGGCAGGAGGATCATTCTACCTACAATCAAAGGTACAGATATTAAGATTGCACCAAAAGAACTACAACATTAACAACTAAACCACTCAAACAGGAAAAAAACAAACAAATAGCCAAAAACGAACCTCACCTTCATCAACATTTGAAAAATAAAAATAATATCTGGACATGTACATGTGAGTAAACAGGGTAAAGTGTATTTCTGTTTTTGTCTTCACCTCACTGTAGGTATACAGAGCAAAAGAACGACTAGATGAGGAGTTGAAAATGCAAGAAAATGAAAATGACAAGCAAAAACAGAACAATAGTGGTGAATTTGATACGTGACAGTTGTCTCATATGAACATTATAGCACAGTGTGGTACTTTTTGCCTTGGATTCTCCACACAAAAAAATAGCAATGTCAATATTGTGCTGTCTGCATTTATACAATGACATGCAGTCAAAGTGCAAGTAATGAAATAGTTTTTTTAGTCACAGGGTTACTTGTACTACACATACCACAAAACTATATGCCCCTAGCTGTATGTGAGAGAAAAGAAGTTCTGAAAGGAATTTATGGCTATCTTTTCTCGGTCATTGATTTACATTCTATGCTTGATTCTCTTCTTTCTTGGCTTGAAAGGGAAATTTTGTGTGATTTTTAGTTATTTATCACTGTACAGTACAGCTTTAGTTGTTCATTTGTAGCCACTGATACTATTCTAACAGCTATAGCCTCTTTCAAGGGTGGAATATTGTTGAAAGCTATTGAGAATAAATGTTGATTTTGTGACATTGCTGCTTTGTTAAAGTTCCACCCACATGTGGATCACTAAATATTTGATTACTTCATGCTGTATTGAGGTTGGCTTGTTTGTGTACTTAAAGTTTTTTTTCCTTTGATGTTAAATACCTGGGAGAAATGTATATTCTTTGCTTGTGATGCTACAACAGTCATACTTGAGTTTCTGCTTATGAAATGGGATGTAGATCTCATCTGTGTTGAAGTTTTATGGATGATAAGGTAGCTACTGAAAATAATAGTTTGCTGGTACTGTGGTTTTGCCAAAATAGAACAATAAAATGTAAACCTGTTACCCTTTAACCCCTAAGAGTGACTGGCATCTAATTTCTCCTTACCAAATCACCCCTTAATCAAACATAAAGGTCACGAGACTAAAGGAAGTGATCACCAACCAAAGAAGCTCTTGATTGTTAAACAAATTCTCCTTGTCAGCACCTTAGGAAATGTTTAGAGAACAGTATGGAGATTATGCATACTGATGTTAGGATGTACAGGGTTAATACGCCTTTCTCTTTTTTTTTTTTTTTTTTTTT